CACACACACACACACACACACACACACACACACACACACACAATACAGCGGCGGTTTGCAAAAGTTCTGTAAAAGTCAAGTTTATCTATATATCCATATATAAACTATTTTCCAGATTTCCAGATTTTTTAATTATAACGATTTTCAACTAAAAGTTAGCCAAATATCTAGCATTAATGCTCACAATGTACACTATGGTTATATTTCACCGAAAACATTGTATTTAACCTTTATTAAAACGCCTCTTAAATTGAAAATTACCCACAATGCACCCGATATATCGATATTCATTTTATTTACAGAATTTTTGCAAAGCGCTGTATACATATGTATACATGAGTGTGTAAATATATATATAGGTTTCCACAAGCGCCCACACCTCAATTCTTTATAATTATGTAGATATACACTGAATATATTAATGTATATACACTGAATCCCTAAAACTTTGACAATTTAGCGATATATATGCATATATATGTATCTCCCTTTTCCTATTGTCTTACTTGGATTTCCAAGGAAATAGAATAGGAAAAAGGGGGATACAGTGTATATGTACATATATCGCTTTTTGTCGGTAATTTAATTACAAGAGTGCACGCAAATAGACTAACATTGAAATTGTAAGAAAATTGTCCACGGAGACGTTTCTCATCGAGAAACTTTTTTTTAATGATTCGAAGAAGTTCAGTATACAGATTATATTCATTAATTATTCATGTCCTGTATTTAATGTATTATTCAACAAAAATATGCACGTTTATCAAAAATAATGATTCAAAATATCAAACATTGTGACTGTTAATTGTAACTGTTAAGGGTTTTTTTCAACCTCTATTAAAAATTTAGAAATTTGCCGAATTTTTGTATCCAGTTATAGTCGGGAATTCTACTGACAAAATGTCGTGAGTTGCAAATATTTTAAATTTTTTATGCTTCTCAGCAGAAGGTATAATCCGTCGTGGAATGGCACGAATCGTTTGCTATGTTAACAAGAACTGACAACCACAGACCCCCTAAAAGCAGTGACTAACCGCATACCCGCTTAAAGCATTGACTAAAAGCAAACGTAAGCGTGAATCTTATGTTTAACATTATGTAAGCGAAAGTCCCAATATAAAATTTTTACTGAAGAAAGAAAGAAAGAAATGAAATGAAATGAAACAAATTGAAAATGAAATGAAAAATAAAAAAATTAGATGATCAAAACAAACAATAAGAAATAAAACGACACGAACAAATATCACGAAAATTTATCAACATTTACAATTTTACTTAATTGTCGTCGCCCTACTAACACCAGGTCACGTCATGTTTTGGCGTCTGCTTTCTCGATCGATTGAAGCTCTGAACTCTATTCTCATTCGGCCAAACAAACCCCTTGATTTTTTCGAATAAATTCCGGATTGCCTGTCTATACTTGCGATTCAAAGTTGCATAAATAAAAACATTTATAACGTGGTTCATCATGGCTACAATCGTAGTTACAATATCCACTGAAGGAGATATCTCGTAACTTGGTTTCCAGACGACCATTAGGTTGACAATACTAAACGGTGCTAGAGTCGTATAGTACACAAAAACAACGACGCAGATAGATAGAGTGATCTTCCTCTCGCTAAGTTCATTAGACATTTCCTGTCTTCTTTTGATCTTATGACTGTCTTTAGGCGAGGAGAGGGAGAGATTTTGATTGTGACCTTGTTTGTTTTGACGAATTGTGAGGTAAATTTTCCAGTAGCAAAATGCCGCTGCCAAACAACATGGAGCAACTAGAGTATAGAACGTTATAGTGTAAGAAAAGCTCGTTGAGTAGGACCAGAAACAAAACCCACGAGCTGGGAAGTACTCATACCTTGACCACCCTACAAGTGGAAGACTTCCGAATGTACCCGCAAATATCCATAATGCCACCAGAAGGAATAGAGTCCTATTCTTTGCTCCAAATAGTGAATGGTATGCGGTAAGATTGGCAGTGACAAGATACCGATTGATACTTATGGCACTGATCGACAAGGCCGATGCCAGACCAAACGTCATGATTGTAAATCCGTTAACTTTGCAAGCTGTGTCACCATAAATCCATTTACCTCTAGCTAATGAACTTACCATGATGCCAAAGCTAAACAAGGCGAGGATGTCAGCGACTGCAAGGTTCACAATGAAAGCGTTAGCTGTTGTCTTTAGGGTACAATTGATCAATGTTACGACTATCACGAGTGTATTTCCTAAAATACCCGTCAGAATTATCACTGAGACGAAAAGTATTACCCACGCTGATTCCTTTGTGTTCCAAGGATTTTCGCTCATTTGTAGAGTTTCATTCGTCATATTTTTTCATACATGAAAGTTGCAGCATAGCTGAGGTTGTTTTACGGACTTCTCTAATAAGACTCCTCGTTTCACTTGAAAGATGCACAGAAAATCGTCTGTTAAAGATACAAAGTACATCTCTATCCTCGCCAACTATGACGAATAGTACAGCTGCGAAATACCAAAGGTAAATGTCCTGCAGAACGTAGGGAATTAATTATTTCGTATTTTCTTGATTAGATCTTTTAAGACAACTTCAAAAACAATAAGATTTAAACGCAGGAAGCGAGAATAGAGGGACTGATGTAATTCGCAGGCCTCAGCAGGTAATCTGCGAGCTTGCAAATCTTTACAATAGCGTTGGTACGCGTGGTTTACCATCCGCACCACTTCGACATTCAAAACAACTTTTGTTATTCAGATTTCAGTCAATCCTGTGCTGTGCTTGACCACGTACAAATCTGACTCATGCATCCACCCCGGACTTTTTATTTTATTAGAAGGGAGGTTAAGGTAGAAGATGGAACTTATCTTGAGTGCAAGGCTAATTATTATTTAGCAACTGTAATTTCTGCATAATCTAACTAGTTATCTAACTAGATTGTACATGGCGTGACAATCGGTTTTTGCCTGAATTATTCTATTCTTAAATCTAGTAATTTATGGCTGTTTCATCTATTTTCTACGAATGAAGCTATTTGTTGTTATCTATAGTAATCTACTAATATAGAAAGGGAGAATAAAGAAGATAACAAAAATTGCCATCGTGAAAAAGTATGATTTCTTTTGCATCTTCATTTGAGGCTCGATCGCATCCCAGATAATTTTGAGAAGGGTCTCAAAATTAGGATCTACAAAGTTGCTGTACGTGAGCTTGGTTCTAGATTCTCTAAGGCCTAGGGCAAACGTCGAACTTTCCATGCACCGAACTTAATTATATCAAAGATTGCCGCCTCATTATCACCTGATATCCAWTGTTTTTAATAARTTCGGTGCATGGAAAATTCRACGTTTGCYCTAGGCCTAAATATTTTTTTATAGGTCACTAATATTTTGACGTATTCTAACATTATATTTTGGCTAAAAGCTAATAGTCATTATGTATTATTGGATGAAAGCGAAACGTAGGTGTTAATTATTAGCCGGTTAAAAAAATAATAATTTACAAATTCTGCGCTTGCAACATGTATATATGTCTAGTGTTTCCTAGTGCAAATCAATAGGCAAACAAATGACACTATAATTTTTTTTATTTTATTAGTTTTTTAGCCACCAATTTTTGTCCTAGCGCCCTTGCTCAACTAAGACAAAATGATATTTTATCATTTTAAGATTTTTTTATTTTAAGATCGTATTATTTTAAGATTTTAAGATTTTAAGATTTTATCCTTTTAATATTTATTTAATTCGATATTTTATTACTTTAAGATCTCATTATTTTAAGATTTTATTATTTTAGGATTGTATCTTTTATATTTAAGCTAAAAAACATGGCACCTTACTTATATGGACTGACTGATTCGAGCATGTATTGCAGTGAATTTTGGGGCTATTTTAGACGAAATAGACGCCATCTTGGAAATATATCCCCTAAACCAGCCCCACAACGCACTGCAATGCCAACTCGACCCAGTTTTTTCTCAATCACAGAATGGCTAATAAACTCAATAGACTCTACACGCTACACCTAGAATTATCCCATTAAATCACAGAATAAATAATAAACTTAATAGACTCTACACGCTACACGCTACACTTAGAATTATCCCATTCAATCACAGAATAAATAATAAACTCAATAGAGTTTATTATTTTTATTATTATTTATAGAGTGTATTATTATTAGACTCTACAAGCGACTCTACAAGCTACATCTTGAATTATTTATTCTGTGATTGAATGGGATAATGTTGTGTGTATGAAGTTACTAGGACAACCTGGAGCGGGTCAATGTTTGGGTCCGATTGGATGGCCCGCAGTTGCAACGGAAACTATTTTGGGATGTTTGGTGCAATGCTATTGGCTTTTTAGAGGTAGGTAGGTCACGTTATAAGAAACTATATATCTTTCTAGAAAGCTTCAATATTTCCAACTGAATTCGTCAATCATTGCGCGCCTGGAAAATTATTCAGCAGGTTCAGTGTATGCTAAATTTGTTGTGATTTGCAGCGTTTTGACGAGGAGGGGAATGAGCTGGCTAGGAGGTGGATAAAGCGTGGAGTTGAAACAGTTTTTGAGAGATTGAAAATCTGATATTTCATGAGTTTGGTTAATATTATAGCCAGCGCTCGTAAAATCATCATCATCATTATTATTATTAATATTATTATTATTATTATTATTATTATTATTA